TAATGACATGTTAAACAAATTTGCTAAGGGCATACTAAGCTCATCCTTACATTCCTTTAATACTCTGGCAAATATCTCATCGGGACCAGGTGACTTATTAGGCTTCAGTTTGTCTATTTGTTTACTAACATCGTTACTAGTCACTACTATCTCGCTTAATTTGTTTTCTTCACTATCTCTGAATAGAGTCGGTGCCTCGGGTATCATGTTTAAATTTTCGGTGGTGAAAACTGTTGAAAAATATTTATTCAGATTATTGCTCATTTCTCCGTCGTTATCAGTTAGCTCTCCGGAATCTGAACGTATTGGTGCAATCTTATCTCGTGTTTTAGTTTGATACATTTGGTAGAATCCTTTGGGGTTTGTTTTCGCCTCCCCTGCTATCTTCAGTTCATAGTTCCTCTTGGCTTTTCTTATCTCGGTCTTGACCTTACCGGCCAATACCTTATAATACTCCCGGAGGTAAGTTTCGCCACGATTTATCCTTCTACCTATAGCCTTCCTTTGGCCAATGATGCTCTTTAAATAATTATTTATCCATTTAGGGTCATTGTTGTCTGATCTGAGTTTTTTGTATGGTATGTTCTGCCTTTGTGCATTAAGTAACTCATTATTTAAATTGTCGTGGAACTCGGCAATCTCAGATCTCGTTATCAGGTCCGTGTCATCTGTCAGGTTCACATCCAAGCGTGACACCCCCTCTCTCAGCTGCCTCTTTAAACTATCAAAGTTTGCCCTTCTGAAATCTGGGACTTTAATGGAATTCCCTTTACGTCTGACCTGAAAATCTAACTGGAATCTAATTTCTTTGTGATCGCTGTTTGCAAGTTCGTTCCCTACCTCGACATTACTAATGATGTTTTCTCTGTTCGACAGAACTAAATCGAGTATATTATTACCTCGGGTGGGTTCGGTTATATGTTGACTTAGGAAACAGTCCTGGATCGTTTCGAGGAAATCCTCTGATACTGAGTTACCCGTAAGGTCAGTCCAATCTATTTGGCCAAGGTTAAAATCGCCTACTATACAGACTTTGTTGTGTGTGTGTGTGTGTATCTGACGTGTATGTGCGTGTCTGTGTGTGCATCTAACGTCTCTGTATGTGTCAACATCTGTGTCACACCTTCACGGCAGAGAAGTCTAGCGGGCGACAATCCAATTACTCGCCACACACTTAGAAAATGACCCCAGTTTACTCATCTTCCTCACGTATGACACTGTTTCCCAACGTATCAATTAATTCCTTAAGTAGGACGAAGATAATAACTCCTACAGGCATATCCGGGTTATGAAAAAGAAAATTAGAATAGTACTTGTGTGAATATCATTTACATAAGCCGGTTTTAACTAACTGGTGGATACAGGTCCTACGTATGTCTCTAGGGTTCCTGATGTTTGTTTATTCAGTGTTATGGATGAATTTTCATTTTGTGGTACGTGTCTGGTTATTGCTGCTAGTTTTGGGGCATTATCCCCTTTGGAAGTTGAAGCCCTGGAAGATGAAGCCTTGGAAATTGAAGCCTTGGGAGATGAAACCCTGGAAACTGAAGCCCTAGGAGTTGAATCAATGGTAAGTGACTCCCTGGAAGTTTTAAAAATTATCGTCCCTTCAATAACAACAAAATAAACCTCTAAAACATAACACTTTAATCCCGAGCGTATGACAACATGACTTTTGCGTACGACAACTTAATCCTCAGGTATAACAACTCTACTCATTATAGTACGATAATTCACGCCGTCGTAACTCTGGTGAAGCGTACGGTATGTACCCAAAAAATTTCATTGCTTGTTAAGTTAATATTTGTAGTGTAATATGTTATGTGTTCACCACGACCAGTCAGCCACATGAGTAAACTGTCCAACTGGTTGACTGTTCGTGTGAATATACGAGTTCTTCACCTTTTCCTGGATGTGATTTAACTGAGATAACTGTACAAGAGGTTAGGGGGGGTCTTACGGGTGAGTCAGTATTGGCAAGATTCAGAGTTAACCTAACCTAACTTAGCCCCAACTTAGTCCAGCTTATATCTAACCTAACGTAACCCTTAATCTAACCTAACACATCTCTAACTTAACCTATTGTAACCTAACTTAACCTAATCTAACTTAAGCTATCCCTAACCTAACCTACAATGCATCTTACCTGTATAATAGGTTCCAGGTACAGAGTCATAGAGGTCGATAGATATTTTTGGTTCCCGTGTTTTATAAGGTTCATGAAATTAACTGTTTAAATGACCGTGAGATGATCTTCGGGGAACTCAGCCATACAAAGAGTTCTGGGAGACGCACACACAGCCAGAACTAAGATCACCGCCCCCCTGAGAACCTACCTCTACCCCTCTGAGAGCTCCCCACCCCTCTGAGATCCCCCCCACACCCCCTGAAAGAGCCCCAACACCACCTGAAAGCCCCCAACCCCTGAGAGAGCCCCCCTGAGAGTCCCCCCACACCCCCGAGAACACGACAACGCTCAGCAACCACAGGGAAGAGGCGCATCGTCTACAGGTCTCTGGGAAACTCTAAGGACAGAGGAGATTGAGTAAAAGAATTATATCAATCCAACCATAAAGGATTATTTTAATATTGCCATTTGAATCATTGTCTGGGTGGTGGTGGTGGTGATAGTGGTGATGGTAGTGGTGGTGATAGTGGTGGTGATAGTGGTGGTGGTGGTGGTGATAGTGGTGATGGTGGTGGTGGTGATAGTGGTGGTGATAGTGGTGGTGATAGTGGTGATGATGGTGGTGGTGATGGTGGTGGGATTAGCGGGTCAACTTGAATTACACAAAAATAAAAAAATATACCTCAGCCACGCAGGGGAAAATCATACCTGTTCATTCTGTAACTACGTGAACGGAATGAGTCACCGTTATACAGGTAGATCTGACGTCATTCTTACGTATTAAAACAGTTTATAATTTTTTTTTTTTAGGATTTTGACCTTTTTTTTGGGGGGGGAGATTCTTAACAGGTGTGGATAATTACTAAAGAAATTGTTATGGTTGTAATTTGGATTGGTAATTACATCGTACAGGTGTTTTATTGGTTCACACACACACACGTAAATAAAAAATAGTTCTTGCCTAATTAGTAGCAACAGGTGTTTAGTATTAGACATCATACAGGTAACGGAGGGGGAGAAGGAGGAGGAGGAGGGAGGAGTAGGTGATGAGGAGGAGAAGAAGAGAGAAGATAGGAGGAGGAAGAAGGTAATGGAGAGAAGAAGAGAGAAGAGAGCAGGAGGAGGAAGAGGTGTCGTGGTGTGGGGTGAATGCAGGTAACAGTCATCTCTCTCTCGTTAATAAAAAGATTTAGTCATGAGAGAAACTGCCACTTGACGAACCACAATGATGATGGTTGACACGGCTGGAGGTCATTATGTTCCGTGAGGTCAAAGACGAAGTTATTTACCTCAGCTTCAATGCCCCTCCCCCACGCCCCCACCATCCTCCCACCACCCCTCTTCCACCCCCTCCAGTAGGTTATATTCTTCCATATTTTAGATATCTCCCCCTCACACCCCCCCTCACCCCACCACACCCCCACTCCTTCCCCTCACCCCATCACACTACCCCCCACTCGCCTCCTCCCCCACCATTCCCCCAACCCCCAACCCCCTCTCTACACTACTACAGGCTGGGCTACTCTGACCTCTACATAAAAAGATATATCGTGAATGGTTATGTAGAAAGTGGGTTGCCAATGAACCTTTTTCTTGTGCCTTTTCTTCTGCCTTTAAGTCATTTCCCCCTTCTTCCTCCTCTTCTTCCTTCCTCCTGCTTCCTCTTCTTCCTCCCCCTTCATCTTCCTCCTCCCCCTTCTCACCTTTCCCTTCCTCCTCAACTTTCCCTTCCTCCTTCTCTTCATCTTTCTCCTTCCTCTTTACCTTTCTCCTCCATCTCCTATCTCACCTTTTTCTCCCCTCCTCTTCCTCTTCACCTCTCGGCCCCTCTCTCCTCCTCCTCACAACTCTATCTACATTCCCTAATTATCTCTCATGATAAAAATACTTTCAACTGCACGTGCCCACCCCAGCCCACCCCTTCACCCCACCCCACCCACCCCACCACCCCACCCACCCACCACCCCACCCACCCACCCCACCTAAGATGCCAACAAAAAGAACCCCATTTGACTATTTTCCCCAAAGCATCCAGGATCTTGTGGTAGCGAGAGAGAGAGCCGCTGGGCATAATCCACTGTCGTAATACATGTAAACATGAGATTTCCCGAGTTTCTTTGACTGTTTTAGTGTGTGTGTGTGTGTGTGTGTGTGTGTGTGTGTGTGTGTGTGTGTGTGTATAATCTTCACATTCCGAAAATACTATGGAGAAAATCATCTTTGTTTTTATATATATATATTTAAGAGGAAATGATTGATAATATTAAGTTTCTTTTCGGAGTAAACATTATTAATCATGAACCATTGTGTTGTTTTTAGTTTTATTTGAGTTTAATCTTCAGTTTTACGATTTGTGGGGGGTGGGGTGGGGGCATTCTGGGGTATTTCTCTCACTGTGGGGGAAGAAGAGATGGCATAGGGAAAGCTGGATGCTGCGTGTCTGACACCACAACAAACACAGAGTAAAATTCGTTTAATTCGTTTATTGTTTTTGCTGTTTTGAAATTGGTGTTGGGTGTAAATGATTCGGTGATATTTTGAGGGCGTTTTTTCGTCTATTTTTAGGGTCATTTTGGCTATTTTGGGGCGTTTTTTCCGTCCATTTTCTAGTAAGTTTGGCTATTTTTGTGGCGCCTTTTTACTACCATTTCCTGGTTATTTTTGGCTATTTTGGGGCGTTTTTCCTCCATTTTCTGGTCATTTTGGCGATTTTATTTCGATTAAATGGCGTTCAATTATCGTTTTAGAGAGGAAGATGGGTGTCAGTGTAGTATTGTTAATAGGGGGGGGGGTGTAGTGGGGGGGGGGGAGGTTTTGTGTCTGTGTGTGTATATAAGAGCGGTCCCCAGCCTTTAGACGCCAGTGCCGCTGCGGGTGTCAACTGGTACACACCTCCTCGTACGCTCTACAAACCCACTCGCTGCTCTCCACACGTCAATCTCTACCAACCAATCGTATCTAAAAGAAAAAAAATAACTAATCGCTTGGAAATTAGATATAAAATTCTCTAATACCGCCACAGTGATTCGTTTAGATCGGTGTTTGATTGGGTTTATTGAAGATTCGATCGTCTTGTGATTACTATCTGTTTGTAGAGTTGAAATCTCCAAGTTAATCTCCAGTATTATTATGAGGTGAGTGACCCCTTACCTGTGATGTTGTTATTGTTATTATTATTATCATTAATATTATTGTTGTTATTAATATACGTGTCATCATTATCCTTATTACTACTATTATGTATATGCATGTTTGCTTGCGAGTGTGTGTGTTTGTGTGTGTATGTGTGTGCGTGTGAAAATGTTTCGAACGTGTAATTTTTTCGGTACATGTGATAGTAAGACGAAATTTCAGGTTTGAGTGTGTGTGTGTGTGTGTGTGTGTGTGTGTGTGTGTTTGTGTTTGTGTGTGTGTGTGGTAAGCGTAAGCACAAATGTATGTTCGAGCCACGTGAGAATGCCACTGAAGGCAGAAGGTCAAGAGAACGATCGTCTGGCGAAAGATTCCACGCGCGTGTCATGGTCATTGCAGCGAGGAGGTGAATGCCAGACGAACGTGATCGCTGGTCCTGGCGTTGTGTTTCTTTATGGGTATTCTCTTTCCTTCTCTATTCTCTGTCTATCCACCTACCTATCCAACCTACCCACCTGGCTAAACACACACACCACAGAGGAGAACTTCTCAAACCAAAAGTACAGGAAAAAAAAATCATGTGGTGGTTGAAGGAGGTGGGGAGGGGGGTGGGAGGAACTACTACTACGTCCGTTTCTTGTCCGTATCGCCCCTCGGCCGTGCGTGGCGGCTCTCACGGACACACAAACACCCTGACCACAGCCGCCCAATCTTTGACCCCAGCGACTGCAACTTCACTTGGCCGCCGCCGCCGTTCCTGTATATGTCTCTGAGTCGCTACTTGAGTATTCTTGCTACGCTGTACTGCCGGGCGAGTGTGTCTCGTGTGAGTAGCTGTTCCTTGAGTTTTGCTGGTTGTTACTTAAAGTTCCTGCTAGTAGTTGGGCTAGTGGCTGTTCTTTGAGCCTGCTAATAGTGGTTGTTCCTTGAGTCTGCTAGTACTAGTTGTTCCTCGAGGCTGCTAGTAGTGAATGTTCCTTGAGTCTGCTAGTATTGGTTGTTCCTTGAGACTGCTATTGATGGTTATTTCTTGTTTTTGTTTGCTAGTGGTTACGTACATAGGTAACTACAGATACAAAAATAGGTCCTTTTCATAGGTCAATACAGAGGCTATTAGCGAGGTCACGTACGGAGGTCAAGCACAGAGGTCACAAGCGAGGTCATGTACGCAGGTCATCTCATCCTCCGCGTTCCTGGCTATATAAGGAGCTGGTGGCGGCGTTCTACCCCAAGGTCCTACACCACAAGAGTCCTTCCAGTTTTTCTTCTCCAGCGTTATAAAGGGCATGACCGGGCACCGCATCTCCTCCTCTCTCCTTCTTTCTCTACTTCTCCCCTTTCTCCCCTTCCGTCCTTTTTCCTCTCCTTCTCTTCCTCTCTTTCCTTTCCCCCTGCTCTCTCTCTCTCTCTACCTCTGTCATTTTCCCTTCCTTTTTTCTCTCCCTCTCTCTCTCTCTACCTCTTTCCTTCTCCCTGCTTCTCTACCTTCTCTTTTTCCCTCTCTCTCTTTCTATCCATCTCTCTTTGGTGTTCCTTTCTCTCTCACTCTCTCTGGTGGTAATGTGCAGGATGTCCCCTTGTCTCTCTCCCACTCTTTCACTCTGTCTGTCTCTCGCTGGTAAGAAAGATCAGGGTAGCTCTCCATTTCTGTCTGTCTGTTTCTCTCTCGGTTCATTCCAGGGCAGGGGAATGCCAGGGAGGGACAGGTGCTCCAGACGCCGCCTGACTCACGCCGGGGCTGCGTCGTGGTCAAGTGTCCGGAACGTTTATCTTGAAATGTCTCGTCCCCATCACCTCCTTCACCACACACACACACACACACACACACACACACACACACACACACACAGGTCTTCCGAATACTGAGTGTTTATCTTTCTCGGTTTTCTTATCTTAGCAGAGATTTATTTAGTTATCAGTTTCTCTAATTAAATCTCAAACAAGTTTTTTTTTTTGACTCCCTGGAATGATGTTGGTTGGGTAGAAGTTTGTGTGTTAGTCGATCTACTTGGTTAGGTTAGGCAAGGTGAGGCTAGTCTACCTGGAGGCTGTTCCATTATCGGTAAACGCCTGACAATGCACTCAATATAACGCTGAGAGTGCAGGAACGAGTGGAGCAAAAAGTTGGTATCTGTCCTTCACTCAGAGTGGGATTTGTCCTCGGGATATTTCGCTTGCAAGGTGAACGCTCGACAGCCATTAAAAAAACTTGAAAGTTCTTAAAACTTGATGATCCTTAAAACTTGAAGACCTAAAACTTGGGGATCCTTAAAACTAGAATATCCGTAAAACTAGAAGATCCTTAAAACTCGAATATCCTTAAAATTTGAAGATTCTTAATAAAATTTTCGAAGACGATTACGAATTAAAATCTCAATACTCGATGCAGTGTTGAGAAGGCTTCCATAGAGCATTTGTTTTTACGTCACCGAGAATACATTTAGGGGACTTATAGAGGATTGTAGTCTATATTGACGTGGGTCTTCATATGATAGAGGGTTTAATAAGAGGGTTTGATTCCTTATTAAAGAAATGTATTTTTCTCCGTCAGTGAAAAAGTAAGTGAGTAAATGAGTGAGTGAGTTGTTAAGAAAGTGAATAAATGAGTGTGTAAGTGATTTAGTAATAAAGTAAGTGAGTGAATAATCTAGTGTGTGAGTGACAGAGTGACCGACAGTGCGAGTGGCAGGTGTAAAAAACAGGATAGTGAAGGAATGTACTGAAGAACTTGATGGTGAGTAACGGGGAGCTAATAACAAGTTCTTCTTCACACTAACCAAGCTCACCCCAGTCCTGATAGGCCCCAGTCCTGATAGGTCCCAGTCCTGATAGGTCCCAGTCCTGATAGGCCCCAGTCCTGATAGGTCCCAGTACTAATAGACCCCAGTCTCTCTCTCTCTCTCTCTCTCTCTCTCTCTCTCTCTCTAAAGATATAAAGATAACACCCCAACACCTTCACAGGTTAATTACACCGTGTCTAATCACCTTATTAGCAAAACTCTCTCCCCTACACACTACACCTTTCACCACACACCACCTTCACCCACACCTACTTTCCTTACCCACATCCACACACTTCCCCTACACCCACACCCTACCTGCACCCACCCTCCCCAAAACTTCCCACCCATTCCCTCCCTATCCACATACCCACACCATATGTAAACAAACCACTTGTTGCCTCCAATTCTCGTTTCCCAGAAAGCTTGTTATGTGACCTTTGTTTGTTGACCGTTTGTAAGCGAGGTTCGCATTCTGTTCCTGATTGGTCGGTAGTTCCAGGAGAGGTTGGTATTCAGACGGTAACTGGTGGATGTCTGGCCAATAAAATATCGAGATAATGAAGCGTGGCCAATTAGAATCGTTCATGGAATAGCTAATGGATGTGATGACTGTTTTGATTGGGTGTTTATATGCAAGGGAACCAGCTAATGGGGGGGGGGTACCGTTCATCTGTCCGTCCGTCAGTCTGTCCGTGAGTGTTAGTGTGTGTGTCTGTACGTCCGTGAGTGTGTGACTGAGCGAGTGCAAGTATCCGTCCGTTCATCTAAGTATCTTATCAAAACGAGAGAGAGAGAGAGAGAGAGAGAGAGGCCACGGTCAAGGCCATTTGGGACGATATTCTCAGCTGCTGTATGTACCTCGGTGTTTACATGTGTGTACTCTAATACTTACATATGTGTACGCGAATACTAGCACGTGTCTCTCTGCACTTGGTTCTCATGGACGGAAATTCCAGTTGTGTACACGAATTTTCTCACACACACACACACACACACACACACACACACACATAAACACAACTGACACAATACTTACATAAGTTTTCCTTGTGTATGGTGAAACTCACAGTGTGTACATGAATACTTACACGAGTGTACACCAATACTTACAGGTGTATGGAACACAATCAACTACCACAATCACCACCAATAACATCATCATTACTACCATTACATCTACCACAATTACCAACATCACCATCATCAAGGCTTCACTCTTCGTAAATGAACCAACCACAAATTTACAACCACCCTCGTGTGTATGCGTTTGTGTGTGTGTATATGTGTATGCATGTATGTATGTATGTATATATATATGTGTGTGTGTATGTGTATGTATGTGTGTGTGTGTATGTATACCAAAACATGTATGTATAAAAGGTGAAAGTTCAGAGAGTGTGTGTACATGTGTGTATGTATATGTGTGTGTGTCTGTATGTGTAAGTGGGGTCAGGTCAGGTCAAACCGGAAGAGAAACCTCCTTTAATTCATCACCTGACGGAAACAGCCAATCAGAAGCCTCGGATTCACAGAGATTCACCTGTTAATTATTTTCACCCTTACTGGAGGAGCTCAGGTGTAATAATACAACATTAATCTAGCGGTAACAAAATGGCGGCTAATATGGTCTGAGACTGTAAGTAGATGTGTTATTTGGCTTAAGTTATGACATTATTATTGTTGTTGGGACTCGAGTGTGTGTGTGTGTGTGTGTGAGTGTGTGTGTGTGTGTGTGTGTGTGTGTGGGGTGTGTGTGTGTGTGTGTGTGTGTGTGTGTGTGTGTGTGGGGTGTGTGTGTGTGTGTGGGTGTGTGTGTGTGTGTGTGGGTGTGTGTGTGGGGTGTGTGTGTGTGTGTGTGTGGGGTGTGTGTGTGTGTGTGTGTGTGTGTGTGTGTGTGGGGTGTGTGGGTGTGTGTGTGTGTGTGTGTGTGAGGTGCATTTTCATATGAGGTAAATTCTCCTGTATTTTACACCTTCTCGTGTCCCCCCTTCCTTGGCCATGATTCACCCCTTCCCATTCCCACCTGGCCATGATTTACCCCACCTCCCTTGGTAATAACCCCTTACCCTCTTCCCCTGGTCACAATCTACCCCCTTACCCTCTTCCCCCTGGCCACGATTTACCCCCTTTGAGGATCCACTGTGTAAAAATGCAACTCCTTACCTCCCCCTTCCCCTCCCCTCCTGTATCTCCCCCTTCCCCTCCCCTCCTGTACCTCC